GTGCTTTAGTTGTGCACTCAATCACTACAACCCGTACACGTGCGAGCAGGTGCTGCAGTTCTGTCTGCGATACATCGCGGGCTGTCAAGAATTCTGGGACAGCAACGACGGAAACAACTTCGCTATTACATTCCGTGATTTGTAAATTATCACTCGAGAGTATAAATATGAAGGGAGGATCAGAATCAGATGGAGCGGAATGAGTTAGAGGAACTATAGCATCTTCGAAGACAGGCATTACCGGTAGTACGCCTCGGTATAAGCAATTATCTATTCACTCGGGCCTGGTCCTTGACACAGGTACACTGAGGTACGCAGAACTGACAGCCCTGCCACTTAGAATGTATACTCACTCACCAGGTCACCAGGAGAGACGCAGACATACACACACGCGCGCGTGTAGGATCTGTATCCCACACAGACGCAACTCCTCATCTCACATATCCGCACAGGACAAGCGCGCACATGCACGCTCGTAAACATTTTCAGACCTACACAAACACACATGTACATACCTACACATATCCATATATAGTAATACATAATCCAGATATAGTAACACACAACCATATATACACAACCATAGATATACGCTCGCACGCAAACGATCATGGGAAGTAAAAACTTGCCCCCGCCTGTAAATACTGGCTATCACAGGAGGTTGCAGGTACACACAAGACGTACATTTTTATTGGTTTATAGGTTTCCACCATATGTCGGATTGTCGGATTGACTTATCATCAGAATGATCTGTTGGTTGGTTACATGCTCCAGCTCAAGCATATGTACACCTGGACGCATCGCGGGCTAGATCATATAGCTGCACTATAGGTGGCACGGCGGGGTTGCGCCTGCATGAGTATGAGACACTTCTGCGGCGCAAAGCACATCTCCCATCGCATATATAACAGATGGCCTGAGCTTGTACTTGGTAATATCTGGCCTTGCCGATATGATGGGTGAGCAGTCTATGAAACTCGACTGTTACAAGCAAGGGTGTACTTGCAAGTAACGGAGCGGTTCTGTACGAGCACGTGGTACACACGGATACGTGTGGTAAGAGATGGCATGGGTATTGGTATGCCTGGCAGCAAATGGGCCACAGAGCGGTGTTTGATATAGAGTTTACGACATGCCTGGCATGGCAAATTATTAAAGTGTACGGCGATCATACTCGTCTACTCCAGTTATTCTAAGAACACTTTTGTGTGTCTCGTGCTGCTCGTGATGCCGACACTGAATTGCCGTCGCTACATTTTTTCAAAGTGTCCCACTTTTTCTGCATGTACGTAATGGCTATGAAGTTGCCAAGCTTCTCCGAAGCATCAGCTATCCGGACTGATGTGTTACCAGTATTTTGTAATATGTAAGGTCAGCTGTTGTCTGTACTTTACTCTTTGACTCTCTAGGTTCTTTGATTTGAAAAGTCAGTTGTTGTAAGTGCTAATACTACTTGACTTACTAGGGGGGTTTTTTTTGTAGTCAGCTGTTGGTTTGTATTTACGGTCAGCTGTTGTCTGTACAATAACTATATGGATTTTCAGGTTCTTTAAACGATTTGTACAGTCAGCTCTTGTCCGTACTATTTTTACTTGTCTTTCTAGGTTATTTGACTTGTAGAGTCGTCTGTTGTCCTTGGTTTTACTACTTGACTTTCCACTTTCTTCGAATCGTTAAGTCAGCTGTTATCCGCACTATAACTACTTGACATTCCCCGTTCTTACATAGGATAAAAGTCATTTGTGGTCCGTACTATTCCTACGTGAGTTTTTAGGTTCTTAATTTTGTAAAGTCGAGTGTCGTCCGTACTATTACTCCACGAATTTCCGGCTCATGAATTTGTAAAATCAGCTTGCTTTTGTTCGTACTATTTCGACTTGACTTCCTAGTTTCTTCGATTTGTGAAGTCAGCTGTTATGTGAATTATTTTAATTTGACTTTCCAGGTTCTTTAATTAAATTGTAAAGTCAGCTGTTGTTCGTACTATTACTACTTGACTTTACAGGTTCATTGAATTGTGGAGTCTGATTTTGTCCGTACTATATCTACTTGACTTTCTAGGTTGTTTGATTTGTATAGCCATCTGTTGACCGTACTATTACTACTTGGCTTTCTCGGTTCTTTGATTGATTCGCGAAGGCAGCTTTAGTCCATACTATTACTACTTAACTTTCTCGGTTATTTTATTTTTTTAAAGTCAGCTTAGTCCGTAATATCACTCACTACTTGTCATACCAGTTTCTTTGATATGTTAAACGTCCGCTGATGTCTGTACTATAACTATCTGACTTCCGAGGTTATCTAAATGATTTGTAAAGTCAGCTGTTGTCTGTACTATTACTACTGGACCGTCCAGGTTCTTTGATTTGTAAAGTCTGTTGTTGTCTTTATTACTATTACTACCTGTCTTTTTAAGTTCTTTGATCTGTAAAGTCAGCTATCGTGTGTACTATTATACGTTCTCGATTCTTCAACTTGTAAAGTCATCCTATGTCTGTACTAACACTACTCACTCTATGTGTTTCTTGATTTGAACTCAGCTGGTCCCCATACTGATACTACTTGACTTTCTAGATTCTTTAGTCATCCGGTATCCGTTCTATTTGTTTGATAGGTTAAGGCCAGATGCAGTCCGTACTATGACTACTTGATTCTCTATTTTCTTTCAATGATTTCGACAGTCAGATGTTGTTTATACTATTACTACTTGACGGTAAAGGTTCCTTGATTGATTGATGTGTCGTCTGTACTAATACTAATCGACTTTCTAGTTTCATTAGTTTGGAAGGTCAGCTGTTGTCCGTACTACTTTACTTGATTTGCTAGTTCTTCGACTTGTGAAGTCGGCTGTTGTCTGTACTAATACCTTCAGACTTTCAAGATTCTTGGATTGTTTTGTAAAGTCATAAGCTGTTGCCCGTACTATTACTACTTGACTTGCCAATTTATTCGTTTTGTGAAGCCAGTTGTTGTCCGTACTATTTCTATTGACTTTCCAGGTTCTTTGATTTGTAAATTCATATTTTATTCAACTATTTCTACTTATCTTTCAGGTTCATTGATCTGCAAAGCCATCCGTTGTTCGTACTATTACTACTTGACTTTCCAATTTATCCAAATTGTGAAGTCAGCTGTTGTCCATTCTATTACTACTAGGGTCTTTGAGTCGTAAAGTATACTTTTATCCGTACTGTAACTACTTGACACTCCCCCTTCTTTTACGGGTTAAAAGTCAAATGTGGTCCGTAATATTCCTAATTTACTTTCTAGGTTCATAGATTTATAAAGTCAGCTTGTACCCGTATCATTACTAGTTTTTGTGGTTCTTTGTTTGTAAAGTCAGTTGCTGTCCGTACTATTACTACTTGAGTTTCCAGGTTCTTTAGGTGATTCGTAAGGTTCTTTGATTTTTAAAGACAGCTTTCTTTGTTTTATTTCTACTTAGTATCCCAGGTTCTGGATTTACGCGCTATGTATACATCTGGTACAGGCACCGTTACCAACAGCAGGAATCTCGAATGACCACTCCACATACACGCGGCCATCGGAATGCAGCTTGTATTAGCTTGATCTCACACGCAAGCATGTCTAGGTTCAAGTCAGCTGTTGTCCGTACTATCACTACTTAACCTTCCCGGTTCTTTGATTTGGAAAGATAGTTGTTGTCTTTACTATTACTACTTGGCTTTCTCAGTTCTTTTATTTGGTAAGTCAGCTGTTCTCCGTACTATCTAGGATCTTTGATTTGTAAAGTCAGCTGTCGTCCGTACTGTTGCTACTTGACATTCACTCTTCCTTGATAGGTTATAAGTCAGATGTGGCCTGCACTATTACTACTTGATGTTTTAGGTTCTTTGACATGAAAATTCAGCTGTTGTTCGTCCCATTACTACTTGACTTTCGAGCTTTTGGTTTTGTACTTAGTTCTATTGGTTCAAAATGAACTCGTACGAAGTCAATATATATTTCTGCTGCTGATGTGACCACATTCACCACTATAAGAACTAATATGGGCCCTGTCTAACCAAAAACCGTGAAATGGTTCAGCGCAAAACAGTTGGTTCGACCAGGGGCAAAACCCAGGTGTACATTTAAGAAAAATCGACAGGCATGTAATAAATCAAACCACATGTGGTCTGGAATCTTGTTCGAGTGCTGGCAACATGTCTTCGGTTTCTCTTTGTTTAAAACTTTTAAAGCACTTCACGACGAAGCCGTGTGCGAAGAAAGTTGATGTGCTATAAATTGCGGTAATTGGCATTGCTGAGGATAAGAATGGATCGACGTCTCCAGATATAAATGCTAGTTTGTGCGTCGGGCTAAAAGTTATACTCGAGTGAAGGCAATGAGTGACACCATTACGGACTATTGTTTATAAATTGACGAGCATGATGCACGCATGCGCAGCAGATTCACTTATATTCAACCTTGAGTATAAATTTCAGGTCGCAATATGGGAATAGCTTTTGAAAGTTTGAATAATCTGAGGCAACCGTGTCACACATGCAGAGTCCACTAAATTTAACTGATCAAGCCAATGAATAGCACACATTGAAAGACTACAACAGGCTTTCACAGTAAGGCTTGTTCTTATTTGCATCTACATTTTCAACTAGGTAAACATTTTGATCCTCTGATGGGTAACTATGACTATACAAACCTTGCCGCAAGACATTTCACTGTTTATGACTATACAAACCTTGCCGCAAGACATTTCACTGTTTGTTTAGCTCTTTATGCTCGAGTCCAGTCGTAATTTTGTAGAGTGTTGAAGGTATATACTAGACACTATTTAACAACCAGTGTGTGATATTCAACATCATATATTATACACCTTGTTGATATATATATATATGTATATATATATACATACATACATAGAAATAGAAACAGACAAATAAATATATATATACATACATACATGAAAACACACACACA